CTGCCCCATCCCTGGAAATGTCCAAGGCCAGGTTGGACAGTGCCACAACCAGTAGCTTTTCGAGCGCCTCGCCGGCTTGGAAAGCTTTTCAGGACTGGGGAGGGCCGGCAGCACTTAAAAAAAGAGGGAAGAAAATTTAAAAATCAGGCGGTTTTCTGCAGGCCCGCCCGTTTTGGGAGGCCGGGGCTGACAGCAGAGGGCGGCACGGGCTCGTCGCTGGAGCCTCAGCACTTGCGGGCTTTGCCCTGATCCAACCTCTCGCTGCTCTTTTCCCTCTCCATCAGCGGCTCCCGGGGTACAGGGAGACATTCCAGAGGGGCAGAGCAAGCCCTGGATGTCACAGCGAGCCCAGGATCTCTGACAGCGAGCCCTGAATCTCTGACAGCTTTCGATTCTGAACAAGACTGAAACTCAAGAGAGAAGAATCAGTTCCTTTTCCCATCCTGAAGCTGAAGCGGAGAAAGGAAACTTCAGAGCTGGCAAAATGAGCACATTCTGGGGTCCCCAGCTGCAGGGAGAGCACTGCCCTCCTGGTCAGAGGGGCTGTGTTGGACTAGCAAAGTTTCCAGGAAGGAGCTGGGTGGAAACACCGCTCCTTCCACCCAGAGTTCAAAACCTCTGGGATACGAGGTGTGACAAACAGGGTTATCACAAATCCCTTCATCCCGTAACACGGCTGCAAACTCTGGGAAATGGAAACCATCCCCCACGGGAGCGGGAGCTCTCGCTTTCAGTGGAGTCCCAGAGTCACTTTTGGCATCTGTGCATTCCTGCAAAGCTCCTTTGGATACCTGACGTCCCCTCTGCCTGAGGCAGGGTGGACTGGCTTTGCTGTTCCTCCCCAGCCTGAGGGTTAGATCGTTAGATCGTCCCTGGAGTTTTCTCTCCCATTTTCCACGGGAATTCACACATCATCTTCTCCTGCTTCAGGTATTGGTCTTATCAAGACTTTGTTTGGAAACACCCCACGGAGCAACAATGGATGGACCCCTCTGCCCTAGCAAGGGAAAGGGGTTCATTATCTGCTCTGCCCACACCCTGCACCACTCCCAAAAGGTGAGAAAACCCACCCTGGGGGTGCGGGAAAGGATAAAATCCAAGCCCTTGGCACTCACAGCTGCGCTTTGATTGCATCAGGTCTTGATTAGCCAGGGCAGGAGCCACACTGGCACAAATGGAGCCCAATTTATGTGCTTGGAGGGGGATCTACACACACCTGGGCATCTGTGTGCACCCCTGCACACACAGGGGGATGGTACAGCGAGCAATCTACTACAGGTGGTAGCCTGGCACCGGGATTGCACTGCCATGGCACATCCGTGCTGTGCTTGGCAGAGCGGGGCTGCATTCCCTTGGAGTCAGGGAATGTTGAGGGGCCCAGCCCTGCCTGCCCATTTCGGGGAAAGAGATGAAGGATTTGGGCAGAGGGTGACCTGAAATGACGTTTTACTGCTTCTGTTTTTCTCACAGCTTCGGTGGCAGGGTGAGAACTTTGTCCCCGGCACCCGCTCGCCCCTCGCACTCACACACGTGCCTCTGCTGAAGTGGCTGCTGCGGCTTGAAACAGGAGGTGTTGTTTCATTTTTGGGGTTGCTTAACCCCCTCCTAACTGCAATAAACCCAGTGAGTAAGGACACAGAAATATTGCCCTGGAGGAAGGGGACCAAAAGCTTGGAAAGGGATGAAAGAAACACTTCCATTACAGCTTTCAAAATATGTTTCTTTAGCTGAAGCTGCTAAATTTAACTCAACTTTACGCGCTGGAAAGGTTTTGCGGTTGGTTTGGGGTTTTTTATGGTGAATAAAGTGTTTTTTCCTCTTTAAAACCCCCACCAACTCGCAGGCTGAGTGATGCAGTTTCGATGTGTCACGGAGGCAGGGTTGGTGCAGATCCACTCTTGGGACACTCGTGTAAAACCCAAAACAGGAGACTCTGGTCTGGAGTGGGGCTCCAGGTGCCTGAAACCAGCACCTGCCCCCCTTGCTGTCACAGCACAGCAGGAGGGTTTCAAAGAAGGCCTGGGAAAGGACGTGTTTCACCCCAGGTTCACACTGAGAGCAGTGCAGGGCTTTGGTTTTGGCTCCTGCAGGATTCAATTCCCTGCCCAGGGGCCATGGGGACAGTGGGGGGCAGGGGGTTGATGGTGGGAGTTCTTGCAGCTGATCCCAGCCCGAGGAGGGAGAGAGAAGGGAAAGGAAAGGCAGGAGAGCCCAAGCTCCACCCCAAAGGTTCTCCAGTGAATTGGGTCACTGTGCCTCAGTTTCCCCACATGCCCTGTGGAGATAATGCTGTTGCCACACAGGCAAAGCACTTGAAGACTGGCTTCCACAAGGATTCATTCCTGGGGAGCTGGAGCTGTGGGACACCTGGTTTGATGATAATTCACCTCCTCCTAAGGCACGGGTTGAAAATAGCTCCTGTGACTCACGGTGGTGCCAAGAAGGCCAAAGGGTTTCAGACACCACCTCAGGGGCAGTTGGATGTTTTCCTTGGGACAGGGAGGTGATGAGATGCCACCTCGGAGTCTCTGGCTCTTCAGGTCCCTGCGGCGAGCCCGGCCCCTGCTCCCCAGGTGACTTTTCTCCTCTGTGCTCATCTGCCTTTCTCCAGCCTTGGCAGATGTTTGGCTGTTGCTCATCTCCCCTTTCCAGAACGGGACATGGAAAATGTAAATACCCCTTTTGCTGTGGCTCCAGGCTCCCCTGGCTGGTCCTTCCTGCATCACCGAGCACCTTAGCTGGGGATGGATGTGTACAGGAAGGCACAGGTGTGATGAGTGCTGGCCCTTTGCAAGTCCTCTGTCAGCCATGGGACTCCAGTGCTCCTGGAATGGGAAGTCCAAGAGCCTGAAATCTCATCCTGGTCCTGCTTCATTGGTTTTTTTCCCGATTTCTGCATTGTGGGTGTTTTGCCTGCTGACACTGGGAAAAATTGGTGAGAGGGAGGTGGGAGAGCAGTGCTGGCCCTGGGTCAGTCATTTCCTAATGTATATCTCCTGTGTTTTCACTTTCTGCTGTCACAGCTGATGGCCCCAAAGTGCAGGGAACATCTCCCACTAAGGAAAAATGAGGGATGAAAAGGGCCTCCAAGCCCTGTGTGCATGTGCCTGTGCCACGATGTGAGGTGGTGGGCAGCCTGCAGGGGAGAACAGGCAGCTGATGCTGTGAGTGCCCATCTTTGGGTCACTTACCACATCTCCCATGGTTCTTTCCCTGTGGCCTAGGATATGACTCTGGTGGCTCTCAGCCTCGTGGAAGTCCTACTGCACAGGCAGGCTGGTGCACATGGAATCAAACATGCACTGACCCTTTTCCAGAGAGTCCTGGGACACGAATCTGGTGGCTCTTGGCCTTGTGAAGGTATTACTGCTCAGAAAGGCTGGTGCACTTGGAGTCAAACACGCACCAATCCAACACCCAACCCTTGGATGCACCGTGTCACCCCGGCGGGACAGGACGGGATCTTTCCAGGGGGACACCACAGCACCATCCCCCTGCTGCAGCACAAGCCTGGTGGTGACAAAATCACCAGGAAGCCAAGTGACTATCAGCACTCAGCCCCACGCAGGACCTGCTCAGCCTCTCTGCAGCGGGTTTTCTAAGAAACACCGCAACAGTCGCGGGGCGTTTACGGGAAGGGTGGGACGGGCTCAGCCCGCGCCGGGGCTGCCACGATAGGGCTTTGGTGGTGCTGGGGGGGACAGTGGCCACCCCAGGGGGCTCAGGCTCCTCAGGGTAGCAGGAGGTGTGGTGGTGGGGAGGTTTGTGTTCGTGTAAGAGCAGCTTCCCGGATGGTCTGGGGGGGAAATGAGAGAGAGGAGGGCAAATACAAACCACATCTCAAAATAGGCCTTAAACTTTGAAGGCGTTTGGAGCTGCGTTTCCTGCTTCGAGCAGCTTCGAGGAGATGAAAGATGCAGCTGAGTGAAATAGAAAACAACCCAAGAAAATAAAAAAAGGAGAAAAGCAAAACAAAACAATTTAGCACTTTTTGGTGAAGGCAGAGGCACAGTGGTGACACCAGGTCACTTCACAGGGCTGGGATGTGGTTACAGGGCTCCCTATTCCCTGACATAGCAGCAGCATGGCTTGGAGAGCAGGACTGGCAAAAGCTCGGGGGTGAGCTGGGGAAAGGGACATGGGGATATTAAAGAAAAAGCCCTGGAGCAAGCCAAGGAAAGGAGGGTCCTATCGTCTCAGATCTGGCTGGGGGACTTGCAAAGTCACCTGCAGAAAGGGAAAAGTGTCCCTTCCTTGGAGCAGACACAGCTCTGTGCACGCAGCAGGTGCTGCAGCGGCTCACACGCAAACAGGGCTTCAAAATTCAGCACAAACTAAATTAGTTAAAAAAAACCTCCTAATATTAAAAAAAACCAAAAAACAAAAAACAAAGCAAACCAACCAAACCAACATCCCCGAAGCGCTGCAGAGCTGGAAGTGGGGTTTTGACAGTTTGGAGGGCGAAGACTCGACCGCTGCCGACTGATAGCGACCGACTTCTCGTAATCCGGAGATCAGCTTCCTCTGCTCCGCGTTGGCCGGAGGTGGGACAGCCCACGGGTGGCTTCCTGCACCCACCAGGCACCCAGCATGCAACACCCAACAGAGCCGGAGCAACAGGATCTGCCTTACCAAAATTTAATTTGGCTGACAACATCCGGCCTTTCGTAAGGTTGCTTTGATGTTTGTTTACTCGCCGTCCCCAGCACATGCTCCCGCTCCAGCCTGCGGATGAATGGGAACGAAAAGGGCTCTGCACTTCTTTGATCTCTCCCAGGAGAGCTGCCAGGAGCAGTCAGCGCTGGAAACACCCCGTGGAGGGATGGATCCGGCTGTCTCCGTGGTGTTTTTGGCTGGCTGGTCCTGGTTAACACTGGAGGGGGACCTTTGGGATTAGTCTGGCTGGAGATAAGCCATCAGTCCGTGGTGTGGTCACTGGTACCCCACACACTCACAGCACCCCTCATCCCACCCTGCCACGAAGGAATGTCTCCACCACATCAAGTGTTTTAGTTTTTATTTAAAACCGCATAAAAAAAATAAGATTTCTCAATTCCCCTGTACAATATCAACTATTAACAAACCCCGCCGGCTACACACGTGTTACAGGTACAGACTGGACAGTGCAGACAGCCCGGGCCAGCTCCCCCCCCTTCCCCAGCCCCAAACAACACCCGTGAGGAAAACCAAAACTCATCTGCAAACTGATATTTGCACGTGGCAAGGAAACAACAGCACCCAGAAGAAGTATGTACACAGACAGCTGGGGAGCAGCAGCCACTCCACACCTACGCCAGACATCCGACAGAAACACGACGGGCCCGGGGGTGGACACAGGACACACACGGAGGGAAGACCCGAATGGAAAACCACGGGATCAGCAGCTGTAGAAGCAAGGCATGGGTTGGAAACCCACATGAATTATAAATAAATAAATAAGTTATCCTAGCGGCTAGGACTCTTCCTTTAAAAAAAAAAAAAACCAAAAAAACAAACAATGAATTCATGAAAATAAATTAAAAACAAAAACTGGAAACCAGAAAAAAGGCAAAATGTTATCACTATTCACAACTGTACATCAAGCTTTGCTCCTGTAGAGCTATGTACACATTTACAGCTGTTGGTTTGCATTGTTTGTGCATTCGTGAGGGCACAGAGAAGCAAAGAATCCCAGAAAATCCACATGGGATGGAGGCACAGGAGGCGAGGCATCACTCACTTGGGTCCCAAGCATCTTCTGACCCACTTTCTTTTTGAAAAGGGAAAAGGTACTATAGGCCCAGGTGAGTCTCAGAAAAGCAGCACTGTAGGAAAAGTCAAGTCTTTCCTCCAGCACAGCCCAGATGGAAACAGAAGGCACTCGAGCACGGGGACAGTGAGAAGGGACAGTCACTCAGCCACAGGCCCTGACCTCCCAAAAATCAGTTTTCAAAAATTGAAGCTTTTCTTGCAATCAGGTCTCAGGTCCTCTCGCTGTCCCCAGTTCAGCAGGTCAAGATGACACTTGAGAGCCTCCAAAACCAGAACTAAAACTCCCCCCTGCCAAAAGTTACTGGCAAAAGCTCAAATGAGACAAGGTCATTCAGATCGAGTCCAGGGCAGCTGGTGTGGATGGTGGCCACCAGAGCTTGGAAGACCAGGTCTCCAGCCCAGCTCCAGGACAAGATGGGCGTGTTCCCACCTGAGCATCCCTGCTCAGTGCTACGGTCGTGATGAAAAAGTCTGGTTTTCTTTGCTTCTTAGGACCAGGAGCTGCGTGGAGCTGTTACTTGCTAGGCTCCTGGATCAAACTGTGCAGGTGGATCTCTGCTGGTTCCAGGTGAATGTCCTGCAGCCAGGAATGGTTGAAAATGTCCTCCAACGACGGCCTGTCCGAGGGGCGCATGGACAAACACCACCTGATGAGGTGTTGGCACTCTGGGGAGAGAAACCAGAGACCCCTGGTCAGTGGGAGAAGGTTCCTGTCCACCCTGTCTGCAGTGCCCAGGTCATGCTGAGGGTGCTCCAAGCTGCATCCAAACCTCCCCATGCGTCCTGTGTTTGGGAGGAGAGTGGGATGGCAGGACATGTGCCCCCTCCTCCAGCCAAGTGTGGGAGATCAACCCCCTCCAGAGCTGTAAGAACCCTTTATCCCACCCACGCCACAAAACCAGGCACCCACCTAGAGAGACCCGCCGTCGGAAGAAGAGCTGCCCCCGGATGATGTCCTCGTCCTGCTCGAAGGGGACGTCCCCGCAGACCATGTTGTAGAGCAGGACGCCCAGCGACCAGATGGTGGCTGAGTGGCCGTGGTAGCGGTGGAAGCGGATCCACTCCGGGGGGCTGTACACCCGCGTTCCTGCGCGAGGAAAGGAGCCCACCATCAAACCCTCTGGGCCGGGCATCCCCGGGCGGCAGCGCTGGCACAGGCGTGACCCG